TGGAGCTCCGAACGAGTGTTTTGTGCAGATTACTTTTGCAAACACAAAAAGACTATACCAAAGCAGCAGAATTTTCGAAGTGTTGGCGAGTTGGACCTCCTTTCTTCGTTGTCCGTCCCCCCTTTCTATGTATCTTCCTCATGTCTAATGACCTAAACTCGTTGAAGCAAATTCTTCCGCCTGACTGTTCCACCAAAGTGAGTGCGACGGACTACCTGTGCTACCATTGCTTCATGCACATCTCTAAGGAGATCTCGATGCGAAGCTCAGAGCAGTGCCCTGACATATTTGAGCCAGCTGAAGAAGCAATTGAAGATCTAAATCGCAGAATACTACCTACAGATGTGTCGCCGCTGAGACAACCAAGCGTCGTAAGAAGTCGGGACAGGCCTGCCTATGTCAAGAGAAAGCAGACAGAACTGGAGCAGGTTGCTGACAAGAATATACGCTCAAGGCTACGTATTGCGTACGACAGGGACGCACCATCGGGGTCGTCCGAACCAACATGCTCAACATGCACTGAGTGGGTGGACAACTTTCGGCAGGCCTTTGAAACCGCCACCTCTCTCCGGGAACGTTGTCAACTGCTTACACTCCTGCCGTCAACACTGACGAAGAATGGGGTTCAAAAGATGATTCCACAGGCCTCAATGTACCTCATCAGTAAATCCCGAAAACTCAAGGAAAAGCATGGCGTGTGGTATGAGCCGGATCCTTACACGAGGTGCAAGGTGAGCCCTGAGAACCTGTCTGCTGCCCTAGAGTACTTCACGAAAGACGAGCTACAATGTTCGCGCCAAAGTCCCAACCAGAAGGACGTCATCTCTGTCATGCTCAACGGAGAGAAAACGTTCGTGCCAAAGCGCTTCATGACACGCTCAATACGAGAGGCCTTCCGTATATACAAAGACAAGCATCCCGATTCCGGCGTTGGGCTAACGAAATTTTATTCGTTGCGCCCTAGATGGGTGCAATGTATTCCACACCAGGAAGTCTGCGTTTGTGTGCGCTGCGCCAATTATTATCTTTGTATTGCCGCTCTAGAGAACGTTACAGGCTCAATATTCAACACTGGTGAAATGAACTCGGCATTTCTGTGCGACCCAGCAACAGAACTGTGCCTTCAAGGAGACTGTGATCACTGCCCAAAAGGCCAGTTTCTTACACTCCAGGAACTTGATATCCCGGAGGATGAAGAGATTGTGCTTGCAACATGAGAGTCCGGCGACCGTGTGAAAAAAACTTTGGAACCTGAGACTTTCCTAAAAGTGATCCAAGTGACGGTTGGAAGTTGGTTACTTCACAACCATATCCGGCAAACGCAAGGTGAAGCGATCTACGATGAAAAACAGTGCATGCAACGCGGGAGCATTGTCTTTCATTTTGACTTCGCTGAAAACTGGACCATCGTGCTTCCTGACGAAGTGCAAGCATATCACTGGAAAAAAAAAAACAAGTTTCGATATTTACATGTGTAGTGACGACAAGAAAATCTACAAACAGCTTTGCCATCATCAGTGAGGACCTGTGTCACGCCGCTCACGCTTGCTTGGCTCTAGAAAAAGTGAAGGAGTGGGTTGAAGACAACGTTGCGGTATACTCGTACGTGACGTACGTAAGTGACGGCGCCGCCAGTCATTTCAAGAATCGCTACCAGCTTCACCAATTTGCAAAGGACGATTGCCCACAAGCCCAGTGGTTATTTTCTGCATCTGGACATGGGAAAAATGCATGTGACGGAGTTGGCGGACTCGTGAAGCACCATGCCACGCTGAACAACCTGAGAGAACGTTCAGTAAGCGCCATTCAGACGGCCAGGACAATGGTGAGCGTTCTATCAAAGAAACTGAAAGGCGTGCATCTTGTATATCTGGACGAAAATGAGGTTGTTCGGTATCGTGAACAAAAAAAAGAAGAGTGGCTGACGGTGCGCGCCTTCCCTGGCATTCAGTCTTGGCACGCGTGGCGGCTCAGCAAGTCATCAACAGAAGGGACCTGTGACGTATATGTAGCACGGACAGTCGGATCTGCTTGGAAGCAACTTTATTAAATGGGTACAGCTTTTGAATGCAGGGACATCTTATTTATCACATTTTTCTTCACGGGGTATTTAACCTACTGTTTTTGTTGGCGGTTACTAATAATTTTTATCTGATCACTATAAAAAAAATCCCAAAATGTTATCCTCGAGCACGATAAAATATATCGGCTTGCCACGATTCATTCATGCACCGAGAGCATCGAAGCTGCTCCAGTTAGGCACTATGGTATCCGTCACCTGAAATTGTTTGTAATCGTAAATACACAGCCAACCTAAATATCTTACTATTATATCTTTGTTTTTGTGTGTGGAAGTAAAGTTATTTATTTTACTCTAGATGTAAAATATACCGGAAGGTACAACTTCACACTGCATCATCTTTTCTCAAATCATTAGTCTCTAATATGATACCACTTTGTACGCTTATGTAAAATGCTGTATATAGTTTCTCCTCCCTTTTACTGTGTTACCGATCGCTCTTTTTATCAATGACCTCATCTGAATAAATGTATATAAAAGATTTGTGCAAGTTTCATGAAACTGGAACTCAGAGTCACTTCTTGTATTGGACACTGCTAAGTGTAGGCTTTGAAAAAGGACCCTACTTTGGGGAGTTGTTTCTTCTTTCACAGTGCAATGATGCAACATGTTTTAATAGAAATGAATGCCGAAATAGAGTATAACAGGGTACCCAAATTTTAAAAAAATCGAAGGTGGTGTTTTTTTTTTTTATTCGCATTGGAATTTTTCTTTGTTTGAATTTTTTCCCATGTTTGCCTAAATATATTGTAACTATTGTGTCACTCAGATACCTTATTTATTTTTTCAATAATAGCCATATATTAGTAAAATAATGTCTGCAAGTTATGTAATAATGATTAAATTATTTCATGAGATACAGATTTCCAAAGTTTGCCATTTGTCGTTCGAGCAGGCATGTTTGGCAATTTTTAGAAAACTAAATAAATTTTTAATAAATATTATTACTTTATATTACAAGCAAGTTGTACCCATAGTTTGTTTGTAAAAAGTTTTAAAATTCTCCTAATTTTATTGTTTTAATTATTCACTTTCAAACTTGCCCCCTCCATCAGTGCGCGTTATTGCAACTGTCCACCTCTCCCTGCCTTACGATTTTTCTTGTCTCCAAATTTTTTTTCTGGTCAAAACTAAGTGTGGATTCGTTTATACCAGACACTAGACAATGTCATATAAAAACATCAGTTGATTTAAAAATGTCGACCAGCCACGCTTTGGTCGATCTTATCTGAAATCACCCTACTACAACAATGCTGTTTATGTTCATTCAGACGGACCAACTTAAAAGAATGGTTCAACATCTGCTTTCACCATTCCCAAATTTAGAATAACCGAAGCCTTTACGCTTTCACATCATACGTGTTTAACAGCGGCTGAGTTGCACGCAATATTTTCAGCCGTCACATTATTGACAACTTTGATCACTCAGAAAACTAGGTGATACTGACAGATTCCAGGAATGCATTAAGCTACTGAAAAGTACAACCATGAACTCCTTCTTGGGATCACTCTTATGCAAGGTTCAAACAACAATAGTTTATGCAGAGGACTATGGCCATTCAATACGCCTTCAATGAATTCCGGGTCACTGCGACCGTAGCGGAAACGTCGAAGCAGATCGTTTGGCTGGCGAAGCTTATTCTCGCTACATAATGGAACTAACGATCCTCACACCTGCGGATGCCAGGTCCCTACTACGGCACTTTCGAGCTGAACTCTCCAGACAGCAATGGTTCACCGAAAACTGAGTCGACGCTCTTCTTCCCGGCATTGACCCCGATCTTAAGTTACCACCTTGTACTGAAACAAAAAGAAAATACGATTCCCTCTTCCACCGACTACGACTCGAAGTGGCTTTTACAAGCAGCTTTCTGCGCCAAATTCGGCATCATGAGTCTCCAACACGTGAATTATGTGACCCATTTGAAAATGTTAATCACATCCTTTTAGGGTGCCAACACTTTGCCACTGAAGGGCACACGATTAAGATTTGTCTTAGACTGCTGGATAGGCGTCCCCTATCTTAAGCAAAAATACTGGGCCCTTGACCTGACCGCAAAACTCTCAATGGGGCACTTAGCATTGTTCTCAATTTTTCAAATGACAACGGTCTCTTATATAGCTATTAAGCGCTAGGACATTGACCCGCCCATGATTGTGTATGTTCGTTATCACGTGTACGAATGAGTGAACGCAACAGTGTGCCGTGTGCGTGGAAGTGATATGTGTATTCGCTGCGGACGATTAGCGAAGCAGTATACAGTGAGAGCTGAAGGATAACTTTTGTACTTTACCTGTTTTGTTGGTGCCTTGTAGCGAGGGCTTTCTCATATTGTATACTATAGCCATTCGCTGCTTGTTTGTGCTACTGTGCCTGTGTCACCATTTCTGATCCCCCTTTCCCCCCTTTTTTTTTTTGTTAATCCCTTCATCCTCGTTATACAATAATAATTTATTTTCACTTCCAAGTTACGGAGTTGCCGGCGCCGTTTCTAAGGCTGCCAGTCTTTCCACTACCAGCATTTATTTCTCTCCCTCTCTCTCTCTAGATTCAGATTTGACAGTTAGAGTATGATTAACTTATGTGATTTATTTTAATTTATTTTAGGAACCCCTCTTTTGTTTTAATGCTCACAAGTTTTTTTTTTTTTTTTTTTTTTTTTTTTTTTTTTTTTTTTACGGGGGTTTGGTAGATAAAGGAGTTGTCAATTTTCCAGATATAAAAAGAACGAGAACTTAACCGCGGTCAAGAATTTGATGCCAACAACTTTCTGTGCAAAGCCGGCTGAGAGCGACGCGGTCAAATGTCTGTGTCGCAACACTATCGCAAACGCGCAGTGTTTGTATTTGCTCGATTACGCAATACGAAAACTCACTGATATGACAGCCACTCAAAACATTTGACGTAGCGTGAACGTACGTCTTCGTTTGTGTTGTTGCACAGGTCCCGGTACTTCTCGCAAAACCTCTCACGGCTGACCCTAAAAAAAAAGAGTTGAGAAATGCTATTAGCTCTAACGGCAGTCAATCTCGACGTAAGAAAAGGAAGATTTGACTTAAGCCGTTTTCTCCGTTAAAAGCTCTGGAGCTTGGCCGTGGCCGACTTTCTGGAACATTCTGTAGAATACAAAGTTTTCAAGAAAATATCGAAATTTTAATTGATTACCGTTTTGTGATACGCAGGAAATTGCAGTCCTCGGGAGCATAATTATCACTTGTCAGGAGAAGCAGAAATTGACAACTTTGTTAACGTAACCCAAGGAATGCAATGCAAAAAGATTTCTAGTGCCACGGAAAAAAAAAAAGTATACGCGTCCAAAAGTTTAATTACTGCTTATAAATGTTTTATGAGTGTCATCAAAAATATACCCTGCGAACATGCAATGTTTGTTGTTGTTCAGTTGAAATTAACATTTTAGTGCATGCGTCAAAACGTTCATGTCCAAGAAACTAGGCGATGAGTTGCGCAGAAGGGACAGGTTTGCGCGATCATTAGACAGTTTTAGTGGAACGTACGCTATAGCTTTGCGTACGCAAGAAAATTGCGGGTCGTGAGTGCGCATGCGCAAAACGCAATAAAAGGGCTAGCGTATTGCGTACGCACGCAACGCTGGAGATTTTGCGTTCCTGGCTAGCGGGCCTTGCGGGACGCTCTCGAGAGATCTCGGCCGCAACGAGAGCGCCAGTTTTAAAATCGCGGTTGCCTCGACTGGCGCAACAAGGGCGACGTGGTGTTTTCGAAGTTCTGTGTTACGTGAAATTGCGTGGTGTTCAGCTCGGCGATTCTTTCTGGGACCTACCGCGGTCGAATCACATCGCCGTGCAGCTGAAGGAGTGCACAGTGAAAATGTTCGCCGCTCGGAATGTGCGTCGACGCTGCGATCTGCTCAACCCTAAGCCTATTCCCACTGTTCATCGCCGACGGACGAACGACTCTAAAAGAAATCGCCGAAGTTTTCGCTATGCACTGGACATCAGGGTCATGAATTTCATTCCGCGATAGCATTGATGAAAAGTGCCGTTTCCACGGGACGAGTGACGGAGGCTCCGTGATCGAATTTGGCTACGCACTCGTACTCGTAGCCTCTGTACCCCGCTGAAAAGCGCGCTTGACGAGGCAGCTGTGACTTGGTTTAATTTGAAATAAAATGAATGGACACGTTTTCATTTTCAATATTTCTTTCCAGGAGCATGGTTGCGCTATAAGCACGCGGAATTCTACGGCTCTAGCGAATTTAACCAAGATCATGCGCGGTGTTCACTCGAAAACGTAACGCTTAACTAAACTCGGTCCGAGCAGGTCATTTTTAGCGTACGCTATACTATTGCGTATTGCGTACGTAAGGTCCAGCAACGCTATACTAAAACTGTCTATTATTCTCTGTTCACCCTTAAGCTAAGTGCAGCCAATGCCACAAGCACAAGAGTTTGGGGTCGCTGCTTTGAAGCGCTTTTCCGCCGAAAGACACTCGCGCTACAAATGCACGTCTCGAAGCCAGGAGCGCAGGATAGCTCGGGCTTGTAGCTTTGGCTGCAGTCTCAGCTTAAAGGGGTTACAGAAAGGGTGCTTATGCATGCCGATGTTCTCTTTTTATCTGAACGTGACTTATAAGGCGCCCGAAAACCGCCGGTCGAGAATTGGCTGATTTCAGGCGCGCTCACTTTTTTCAATGGCCGCGTGCCGTTCGAACTGATGCGTACGAAAATATATTCAAAGTCGTGGGTCATCTAAGGCGCACATTCAATATTAAAAATAAAAAAAGTTTATGAACCCCGTATTTGTTTTTTGTTGCTTCCAGAAAGCGGTCAACACGTTGATCGAAAAAAGAAATGCTGCACAGACCACAGGAAGTACATGTACACGTCATTCTCAAAATGGCGACGTACCGCGGGGTGGACGACGTGATGGCAGCGCAAAACGGACCAACATTACGACGGACGCGGAGCCGCTACTTCGGGACTGTGGTTTGTGGTACCGGCCAATCGATCCTCGAGCGCAGAGCAGTGAGTGGAAGTGATATAAGTGCAAAACAATCACACGACAAACTGTTCACGCAACGTCCTCGGTATCGTCGTCTGCTTCACACGTCCGAAAAGCGGGGAAAGGAAAAAACAATCGGTGGGGAACGATAGTTACGTAACTACAGGCAACTCTATCCCCCGAGCCTTCATGTACATGTTTCGGTTTCGAGCAGTTGAGTGTTTTGGATTTATTATATATATACGTGACTCTGTAGCAGAACATTGATTGGCTAGTCTCCTGGCACCGTACTAAATCGCCTATCAAAAATATTAAAAACAAAATTTGGGGGATTTCAGCGTCCTTTTAAGGGTGTTCAGAGTAGAGTAAAAAGTCTTGAATGCAGAAAAGGCACGTGCGTAAACGTCACTGCATACTTAGAGCCTTGCATAGAGGTAACCACTATGAGTTTTTACTCCATAATGTTATCTGCTCGTTAATTATTATAAAATTACATATTTTGGTCAGTATTTTGGTCAGAGTATACAGAGAGCAAGAGAAGTAGAGGAGGATAATAAAACGTGCGGCCACGTCAGAGCGCCGAGCTCTGATTGGAAGGATGATTGGAAGCGGGCTGCAGCCTTTGCTCCAGCCCGCTGTCTTCCGGAGCGAACAAGAGCGTCGCCTACACCTCGCGCCTGGTCTGCCATTCGGCGTTCCCGCGTTCGAACTCCGGACCCTGCGTTCGGCGTTCGGCATTCGAACGCCAGACCGTCCCAAGGAGCAGATGACGCCCTTGTTTGCTCCGTCTGGAGAGAGACAGCGGGTGCCGCGTGTATCTCAATATCCTTTAAATCACAGCGCGGCACTCTGACGTGGTCGGACGCTTTCATATCTTTCTCTCCCTCAGTTTTTCTCCGTACACTCGGGACTTTACAATACTGACCAAAAAACGTAATCTTCTGTTCATCAACAAGCGGATAACCATTTCGAGCCGAGAGTCATAGCGATTAGCTCTTTTCGCGAGTCTCTAGAGTTTAGGGTGAAATCTACGCGCGCGCCTTTTCTGATTTAAAGACGTTTCGCAAACGAACGCTCGCAGCTGTCCCTCCTGCACAACGCCAAGCTCTAACGGTTGCGACGGAGAAGACGGCTTTAAAGTCAGATCTTCTCCAGCGTCCCTCTGCGTTGGAACGCATAGGGAAGCTGCATTGCCTCCGGCCGGAGCTGACCAGTTGGTGAGGCAGAGCGAGACGGCGGGCAGCGACACGAGCTCGGAACCCTCGACCCTGACGTCGTTGGTGGTCGGGTAGCCGAGGTAGTTGACCACCGCGTCGGACGCCTGGTACACGAAGCCCAGCAGGAGCCCCAGGAAGGCCACCACTCGGAGGGCCTCGGTGCGCCGGCGCAGCGTCCTCTCCTTTCTGCCCCTGCTGAGTGCGAAATGAAGAGAGCGTCGAGGGAGGCCATCCCAGGAAGAGTTTTCGATGGCTCTTGAACGGGCAACGCGTGTAACGCGAGCAACGAAAATGTTCACTATGGTCAATCACAGCTTCAAAAGAAGCTGAAGAGGTCATTAAACTTGAAAAAAATAAAGGTTTTAATGTAGGCATTTTGAAAATGATGTCTTGAAGAGACACTGCAAGAAAAAAATGAGTTTTTTAAGGCATAAAAGGAACACGTGTTTTTTTAAATATGGGTTTCACAAGACACTCACACACACACACACACACATACATATATATATATATATTTCGCGCAATATTTACGTTGATAGGCGCAATTTAGATGCAAAAGTGGAGGTCGCAGCCCGCTAAGCTCCGCCCCGTGGCAACAAGGTGCATACATCTCTCATTGGCTGAACAGACGATTGACGTGGGAAAGGTTGGTCGTAACTTTGTATCTCCGTGCCGTAATAGCATTTTAATCGACTATTTTTATTATGTTTGAGAAACAAATAATTAAGATGGAGTCATTATTGTTTTCAAATGTATTCTGAGATTGCTCCTCCTGCTTTGGTTTTGAAACGTTAACAAACCTGACTGCCGGCGTCTGCAGAATGCTGAACGAGCGAAGCTCGTTGTGAAGGACGCGCAGCGAATTTCTCTGTATTTGACTAATTTCGGTCTTTTCCATGACGCTCACCGAGTTCATAATTGAAACCACACGTTTATTTTATTATTAAGAAGTTAAATAACATATTATAGTTAATGGTCCGTTTTATCTTTGTCAACTACCTCTCTATGTTATGTCTCTCTTACCTTAAAGCTTGCATGAACAAACCTAATTATCGCGTCTTTCATAATTATTTTTTGTTAGAAAGATTTGTTGAGGTTAAAATGATGTATATGTGATATTCTCTCGACTTAATAAAGAGGCTCGTCGTGGTCTGCGTTCAATCACAGAACTGATATCTCTAAAGGGATGCTGCTGGTACGAAATGGGGAACTTACCCGTCCAACGGTGCCACGATTGGCATGGCTGCGTCTGTCCTCTGCGACGAAGCAGCGACAAACTGACTCCTGTCCAATGTTGCTACGCAGCTGCGACAACTTCGGTCGCGGTATAATTTAGTTTTTTGCTTTTTTTCTCGCTACACGGAAAACACCTCAAAACGATTGAAAATGAGTGGGAGCAAGGGGAGGGGGGGCTGTTTGTTGGCTTTGTTGGCATTGTCTACGCTAAATACACTAATCCTGCTAGAGGTTTGTTGTTTAGGGAATTGCGGTGCAGAGAAAGAGAGAAAGAGAGAGAGAATAAGAGCAACGGGCGAACGTGTTTGTTTGCGTTGATGACATCCGCCGCTGGACGATAAGCGAATCTCGTTTCCATGTTGTTGCCCAATTTCCCTAATTTCATTTGCTCATTGGAAAGCAAATAGCCGACTCTTGTTATGCGTTCTGGCATAGTACCGATGCAAACGCGGTTCGGATCCCATTCGAACTAATGAACTAAGAAACAAACACTGAGGAGATTTAACACAAAGACAAAGATTTGTACTACAAAATATGTCC